CTCAGCTACCATCCGGCAGATATCCGCGTCTCACCGGCGACTCGTCGTGCTCCTTTACCAGGGCCATACCGAGGCAGAGCTCTCTAGCAGTCTAGCGCGTAGAGGGGACGGGGGGGGCGGCCAGCTCTCCCAGCTCCGATTTATTGATGTCCTCCGCGACCGAGATGAAAGTGGTCAAGTCCTCAAGGAGATCATTGGCCACACTATTGAGGGAAGCTCCATCATTGGCGTTCCACTCCACACTCATCGCGGATTGCTCTTCCCGAGAGCTGGCGAAGAAACGATCTAAGAAGTCCTTTCGGGCCGCACAGAACCTCTCTGTGTGCTTAATTAGAATCCCAGAAGTACTCTCTATTAATGGCAGCTCAGATTCTCGAAACTCGAACTTGCCCCACTGCCCTGAGTACCCGGAGCCATCTCGAGGCTTCCCTCCACCTCTGCGGCTGATAATTCCTGGGTCGACGTAATCCAAGGGTGATCTTCAGGCTTGATGCCCAACTTTCTGCCCCTATCTCGCTGTTTCTTCGCTTGGGTAGACCTCACGTGTGGCATTTCCCAAAGAAGAGTCTCTTTGTCAAGTGGGAACCAAACTGAACGACAGTCGTTCCGAGAACGACGTTTCCTCCGTCCCATTTATGGTGTTATGACCACTAGGAACGGCACTGACGCAACGCAACAGCCACCAGTTTTGACTACGTGATAGTCAAACTTCGGAAAATGGCGGAAACTCAGCTTCAACAGTGTTGGATTGGCACCAAACCAATGCCGCAGCTATTGATCCTTAGGGTTCTTCCTTGATGGTTCATCCTTCACCTGCCCAGTCCTAGGGCGTTTATCAGACCCGAAGCTACTGTCCTTCTCCCCACCTTGACCGTTCTGCCAATAAGGCTTAGATTGGGGGTCGCCGAAATGTTTACGATAACGGCAATCCCTACCGAAGGGACAGGATTGCCGAGTGAAACGGCAAGTGTCAGCACCGAAGTGCATAGCGCTCCCTTGCCTACGTATACCCTTGCCCGAAGGTAGCCTGGGTATGCCAGATTGGCTCACCGCCGGTTTAGCCAAGGCTACAGCTATCAACTCGTGAGACTGATTGGATCTTAAATAGGTACCGAGGGCAGAGTCGACTTGGAGAGAAGGGTCAGTGTCCCGCAGGCGGGTGACCACTTGTGGCAAGGCCAGCCTGTAACCCTTATCACACTCGACTGCTGCCTCGAACGATCGTGACCTCGCTAACCAGAGCAACCGGCTCCGATAAGCAACCGTGCCTTCCTCAACTTCGAGAAGATCTCGACCACGACGACACCACCACCATAGTTTTTTGTTGAACCGACGACTTCGCTGGCAGTACCGGGACTTTTGGTGGATGAGC